GACATCACCAGGAAATGCGGTTCAACCTCTTTCTTCTATGGAAACATCTAGGAATGTGTAAGCCTAATGGAAATTAGCAATTTGTTTGCTCTTTACAGCCATGGTTAAATTTTAGCCACTTACGCTCCACTTCCACTAGAAATTATGATACTGAATAATAGTGAGAGGGCTTGGGTAAAGGTAAAGGGACCCCTGACCATTAGGTCCAGTCGTGGCCGACTCTGGGGTTGTGGTGCTCATCTCGCTTTACTGGCCGAGGGAGCCGGCGTACAGCTTCCGGGTCATGTGGCCAGCATGACTAAGCCGCTTCTGGCGAACCAGAGCAGCGCACGGAAACGCTCTTGACCTTCCCGCCAGAGCGGTACCTATTTATCTACTTGCACTTTGATGTGCTTTCGAACTGCTAGGTTGGCAGGAAGTGAGAGGGCTTACTCCTGGTCAAAACATTCTACATAAAATGTGGCATTTACCAAACTGTGACCACTCAGTTGGGATAATCCTGATTTTCCTTTTCAGGCCACCATTTGCACATTTGATAGAAGAAAATCTAAGCTACCTCGACAATTTTAGCACTATTATACAAGAAGCAAAACGTGACCAGAGTAACAGCATGATGGTAAGTCTAGGGTGCTTCACTTGGTGTTGATTTTGAATAAGAACAACCTTTTGCAAAATGAGCAGCAAAGACTTTTTGCCTTCTACCCCTGGAAGATAGGGAGAAGTTCTTCTGTAGCCTTTTATTCAATACAGCTTGAGCTAAGCTGAAGTGGCTCTTTCAGTTTTGTGCAAGGGTGGTAAAATTTGGGAGTGAGTTCGGAATCCTCTTGAAATTTCAGATAACTTTTCAGTTTTAGTCCTGTCGGCTGAGGATTGGGAGAGGAGGTGGGCCATTAATTTCCTTTCCCTGCTCGCAGCATTTTGTTAATAATCTTTAAATACTCAGAACTCTCCAGTTGCTTGCTCAGTGCACTTGCTCCAAAAGGTTACCATTTTCACTTTGTGAAAATCAGCAAAAAAAAGAAGAAGAGAGGCATCTGTTGAGTGGGCTGTGTGGTAGAACAGAGAGATCTATCATGGGAGAAGGAGGGCAGAATGGTAAAAACACAGATATTCCACTGCTCATCCTATTCCCTGTAGCCACATTTCAGCACTGTGTTTGAGGGCACTCAACAGATGTGACTCCCCGTCCACACATCCCTTCCCTCCCTCTGTTAGTCACAGACCTTCCAAGCATACCATTCATGCTTCAACTCCACAACTGTCTCAGTATATTTTGCACTGTGTTCATTTATGTAAGGGAATGTATGTGTCACTCGATTTTCTTCCACGTCTGAATTTCACTAATGGCTCTCTTCAGTTTTGGTTTGGATAGCTTTCCAAGAGGGCGACAAATTTATCGGGTGATTTTCATCAGACTGATAAAATACCTTAGATTACTTTCTAAATTGAGAAGGGCTAAATGGCCAAGGAGGGGGACTTTTAGTTCAGGCAAGCTCAGTTGCCAAGGGGTTAATGTCCGAATCCAAGTACCTCGAGAGAATTTGAGTGTGACCTTTTTTCCTAGTATTGCCCTTGTTTGCTACCGTGTTAGAGAATGGGAATCCCAAATTCTTTCATCTAATAAGAAACTGCGTTTCTACAACATGGGTGGAGCACTTTTAGCTAATAGTAGCTAATGTTAGGACGCGGGTGGCGCTGTGGGTTAAACCACAGAGCCTAGGACTTGCCGATCAGAAGGTTGGCGGTTCGAATCCCCTCGACGGGGTGAGCTCCCGTTGCTCGGTCCCAGCTCCTGCCAACCTAGCAGTTCGAAAGCACATCAAAGTGCAAGTAGATACATAGGTACCACTCTGGCGGGAAGGCAAACGCCGTTTCCGTGCAGTGCTCTGGTTCGCCAGAAGCGGCTTAGTCATGCTGGCCACATGACCCGGAAGCTGTACGCCGGCTCCCTCAGCCAATAAAGCGAGATGAGCGCCGCAACCCCAGAGTCGGTCACGACTGGGCCTAATGGTCAGGGGTCCCTTTACCTTTACTTTAGCTGCAAGATGCAGATACCTGGGGTGTCAGTCCAGCACTGGTTGCTCACAAAGAAAGTGTTAGTTGAAATTTCGCCCTTTAGGGAGAGTGAGTTGAGCATCACTTCCCTTGCTATGAGTTCTAGAAAGGGCCTCACTGCACACATGACCACTTGAATTTCAGTTTTGGGTAAGCAGCCACAACAGAGATACCTTAAACACTAGCAGGTTTATTTGGGCATGCATTGATGATGACTAGTATGTATCCCATAATAAACCTGTTGGTCTTTAAGGTGACCAAGCTTCTAAGTTGTGTTTGCTTCCATAGACAGGCACAGCTACCTCTCTGGAGGGTGAGCAATTTGTTTTACTCATAGCATACTCTGGGTTTGTTAATGAGTCCCAAGTCTGGAGCATGGGGTTAATTGGGGTCAAACACTTCAATAACCCCATGATAAACCCCAATCATACACCTTTATTATCAGCCTGGTTTTGCTGGTGGAGACTACCCTTGAAAGTGCCACAAAACTTCCATTAGGCGTTTTCATATATTATCCCCTCTTAACATTTTTCATGTTAATGGTTTGTCTTCAGGGGAATAACTCCTTTTTTTCATGTTGTCACCAAAAGGCTAGGTCGTGTTCTGTTGGTTTTCTGGACTGACCTTTTGAGACTCCGGTAAAGAACAGCCTCTAATTAAAACACAAACCAACCCCCTCCTCCACAAAGCTGCAAAATGTCTGAAATTATATTTCCCTTCGCAAGCCCCAGGGTCAGTGTTATGGGAGGGAGTCAGAATGCAGCCTCCATGTTAAAAGACAACCTGAGAAGCCTCCTCGGTTATCAGTTTGTGTCCCTTGCTTATCTTGCTCTTGCGCACTGCTTTATACAAGGGAGCACAGTTGATTGTGTGAGGAGAACCTGAGCTTACAGGGTTAAACAGCTCAGAGTGTACGCCCCGCCTACTGTTGAGAGGAGGGGGGAAATTCTTCCTCATTTCCGAGAGCCTCAAGCCTTTGTTCTTTCTCTCTACTTTCGCTTTTGAGAAGAGAGGACGTGTTTTCACGATGCTGTTCGCTGTGATAGATAATGGATAGTCTGCTGTAAATAAAACTGCTTTTAGCTGCTAAGATCCTGAGTGGACTTTATTTAAGCACACTGAAGAAGGCACTGGAGTTTTTTGCAGTCTTTCTCTTGCCGCTGTTGATCTCTGCTATGCTATGCTATGCTCAGAGCTCAGGTCTGTGGACTTTGGAATGCAGAGGCCTGCAATGGGGAAGCGTGCCGGACGCTTATCTGAGCAATAAATCAATCCGCTCTGACAGATTGTTGTCCTGCTTTCTTTTGCAGAGTCTCGATTGGAATTGGCTAAATTAGCTGAGTGTGTGAACAGAACTTGGAGAATTCGCAGGTGTGCTCTGTGCGCATCTGTCCCGTCCTGGATTTATGATCACCTCCTAAATGCAACTGCCACTGCCTGAGAACCTTGCAGTTGAGGATGGCATTTTCATACCTGCTAAATCGTTCTTCTAAATCCAGGTTTGAGTGGCTCCAACTCTCTAATAGAGTCCTGCAGCTGCTGTAGTCAGCCAGCAGCCTTACACCCTTTTGCAACAGACATCAAGGTCTGCTGATTATCTTCAGAATTCCTCTTTCTCTTTAATTAATTGAGACCTTGTCAGACGTTGCCATGCTATATTTGTCCATTCCTGCTGGGATTTCTCGGAAAGTTGGCTGCCCCTGCTTTTCACACTAAGATGTATAGTCCTGATGGAGTCATGGGGGCATATAGTGCAATGTAATGAACTGTATAAAGAAATGATACAAATTGCCCTACATGTAGTTACTGAATTCTACTAAGGCAGGAACTAGAGAGAAGACATGGAAAAGTCTGTAAATAGTTTGTAACATGGTTCATGAATTGGTTCCCCCTTTTCTCTCTGGTTCCTAAAAAAATGATTGATATTCTTTCAGCATGGGTGGGGAATCTATTGCCCTTCAGATGTACTTCCAACCCCATCAGTCCTAGCCAATTGTTTGAGAAGATGGGAGTTGTAGTCCAACATCGTATGTGAAGGGCCACAGGTCCACCATCCCTGTAACATGGAATATTTTGATTATATATAATCTATTTTTAAATATGTTGCTTTTTGTATTACCTGACTTCAACCTAACTAGGGTGGGTTACAAATGTAAAAAAAAATAATGAATAAAATGATCCTAATCAGCAATGGGTTTTGCTGGCTCTTTTGTCATTGCGTTGGAACTGTAACAACATATAACAGTTGTCCAATATACCTTTGGAAGAAAGCTGCCCTTTTGGAAAAATCAACAGTTTGGGGGCCGGTAGCACCCCTTTTATTTCTGGAAGTCACCCCTAAGTTTATTATGAAAACTACAACTTATTTCAAATACTTACACGTAGGTGTGTTTTTCAGAAATAGAGTCCTGTGACAAGGCACCGGACCACTGTTCTCTTTGCAACTCTCTGTTCCCCCATGCCAGCAAATAAATGTTTCTACCTATATACTGTATTTTTCGCTCTACAGGATGCACCAGACCACAAAACGCACCTAGTTTTTGGAGGAGGAAAATAAGAAAAAAAATATTCTGAATCCCAGAAGCCAGAACAGCAAGAGGGATCGCTGCACAGCGAAAGCAGCAATCCCTCTTGCTGTTCTGGCTTCTGGGATAGCTGCACAGCCTGCATTCACTCCATAAGATGCGCACACATTTCCCATTACTTTTTAGGAGGGGAAAAGTGAGTCTTATAGAGCAAAAAATACGGTAATTCAAATTGTACGATTACCCAGACAGTTGAACAGGTTATCCAACTTGTACATGTTTTTACAATCTCAGATGTGTTTTGTACAGAACTTGGTACACACTACAGCAAACAGGGTAAACTTACAATGACTGAAGTCAAGTTTACTTGTTTTAACGTGGAAGTAGCTCAGCAGCCGTCCCTAAATAACAGGTATGCAGTCATCTTTGTATAGATCGAATTCTCATTTTCTGTCGGCGATGTACATGGTCATACATGTCTGACACGAGGAAATAGAAGTATTTGGTTTCTTCAGGTGGAACGCGACACAGCTCTTTCAGTAGATTCTGCATGCTGGCTGAGAGCCTTCTTATCAGTAGAATCTCGGAGCCCACTAGCTGTCCTGAGGATGCAGGTCTCCGAAGAAACTTCAGCATGTCTGGATCTTTCGGCTACAAAAATCCAAATTTAAGGTCCACAAACTGGAAAAACCAAGACTGTACTTACATAGAGATTCTAGGCAGAGTCCACTACTATACAGTGGTACTTCCAGTTGCGGACAGGATCCATTCCAAAGGTCTGGCCGGATCCCGAGGTTTTCGCAACTGGAGAGACCGCTTCTGTGCACACAAGCTCAGCGGTAGAAGCACTCTACCGCTTTGCGTACGCGCGCGTGGCAAAAACCCGGAAATATACTGCCAGGTTTGCCGCTTACGATCCCGAAGTTTACATAATCGGAGAGAAACATAAGTGGGGGTACGACTGTATTTTGTTCTGGAAACACTCCTGGATTAAGAGCCTTGTACGATTCTAAAAGAGGGGGAAGATTCTGAATGTAGATTCCTCTGTTCACTTATGAAAGTCATAAGTACAGAATGTGATGTAAAAGGGCTAGATATATTTTGTCATGTCAGCTTTCATCATAATTTTGAGTAAAGGCTGCAAGTATGAAGGTGCTTTCCGGGTCTCCTTTGCTAGAAATGCAAGGTCCGGTTCAGTGCAAGAGAGTTTAGAAGCTTTGGATCTGGTTTCAGCTGGAGGGACATTCATGTTTAACCAGGATGACATTCTGGGGAAGGAAAGGCATCATGTGATACAGCTGCACAAAGGAGCAGCTCCTCTTTTCTTCAGTCCAGTCCTGGCTTATGACAAGGAAGAAGGATTTAAGCCTTTTTTACTTGCAACATGCACTTCCCTGCCTAGAAAGAACTAGGGACTTACATATAAAGTTCAATGTTTGGAGGCCTGAATATCCAGTTTGCGTCTAATTTACTAATTTAGCTTGGGCTTTTTTTCTTGAGTCCACACCTGGCTCCCTTCCCCCAGTTAAAAAAACAGAGGCAGGCAGGCTGGAGAGAGATTTCATATTTTGATTATTCCTTATTTATCAGTATCACATCCGTATCCATTCCACCTTTCCTGTAAGGAGCCCAAAATGACATTCATGGGTCTCTTTCCCTCCTATGTTATCCCCACCACAAACCCTTGAGTTAGGTTAGGCTTAATATCCATCCACCTTATTCCACCTTCTGGATTAACTCTCAGTGAAGTTGTTTAGCTAGCAGTGCCTTTCCTCGCCTCCTTTCCCGGTTAGAGGGTAATACTGAAACATCTACAATACCTACTGCTTTTCCCAAGAAGAGGAACGTATGGTAAGAAAATTCTTACTTTCTTATGTAAAGCTTTTACTTAGGGAAGCATTAAAAAAAATCTGAATCGTATTTTTCTATTTTTCTTTTTTACCATCTTTTCGATTTTTATTTATTTTATCTTCTCTATTTTTCCCTCCCCTCCTCCTGTGTTTTTATCGTATCTATATAAAAGTATTGGGTTTTTGTTAAAAGGAAGGGGTGGGTTCTACCTCCAGTTATGAACTTGCACAGTCTTAAAGAGGGGTGCTTTTTAGCCAACTTTTGCTAAACTCCAAAATAATAATAATAATAATAATAATAAATTTTATTTATATCCCGCCCTCCCCAGCCGAAGCCGGGCTCAGGGCGGCTAACAACAATAAAACAGTACAAAAGTACAGCATAAACAACACTCTAAAATCATTCATTATAAAATTAATTAATTCAACCCACTGGCAACCATTGGGCCAGAGCTCCGCGAAGATTGCCGAGGGAGGGAGTCAGGCTGTGCCCTGGCCAAAGGCCTGGTGGAACAGCTCTGTCTTGCAGGCCCTGCGGAAAGATGTCAAGTCCCGCAGGGCCCTGGTCTCTTGGGACACAGTGTTCCACCAGATCGGAGCCACAGCCGAAAAAGCCCTGGCTCTAGTTGAGGCCAGCCTAACCTCTCTGTGGCCTGGGACCTTCAAGATGTTTTTATTTGAAGACCGTAAGTTTCTCTGTGGGGCATACCAGGAGAGGCGGTCCCATAGGTACGAGGGCCCTAGGCCGTATAGGGCTTTAAAGGTTAAAACCAGCACCTTAAACCTGATCCTGTACTCCACCGGGAGCCAGTGCAGCTGGTATAGCACCGGATGAATGTGATCTCGCAGCGAAGACCTCGCAAGGAGTCTCGCCGCAGCATTCTGCACCCGCTGGAGTTTCTGGGTCAGTCTCAAGGGCAGCCCTACGTAGAGCGAGTTACAATAATCCAGTCTGGAGGTGACCGTTGTGTGGATCACAGTGGCAAGGTCAGGGCGAGAGAGGTAAGGAGCCAACTGCTTAGCTTGGCGGAGATGGAAAAATGCTGCCTTTGTTATAGTGGCTCGTTGCTAAAATTCTTTGGATTTCAGTTCACGAGCCACATTTGAAGTTCAGCGAAAGTTGGCAAACATTTCTGACAAACAGAGAGAGCACAGCTTAAGATTCCCCGCCACAGGTGTGTGAATGAGAATGCCACAGGCACTCACTTTCAGCTTGGCACCCACATTCAGTTGAAGGCAGTCGTGATTATTAGTAAATGTTAGGAAAATCTGGTCCTGGGCTTCAATTTTAACCTGGATGTAAACATTCAATTGAATGTAGATGGGTTGGAAAGGAGGTACATGGATGTGGCTGCTCTTGTCCCACCAATTCCAGTGTTTCTTCCTAACTCCCTTCCGGTCAAAGTACGAGCCAAGGCAGAGGTCTAGATTCAACCTGTTTGGGGGGCGGGGAGGGAATGAAACAAAAGACATTGGAATAAACTCTTTGATTTCTAATGGAGGAACAAGAAGTGCAAAACTCAACAACCACTTTAGAACACATTAGTCCCATGGTTTGAGGGTTTGTTGAACCCTACCTTATCCCGTTCCCGAAGGCAGTCCTCCCTGCGAGGATTTAAGCTGGCCTATGATCTTAAAAGTTTTGGGGGTTGTCGTTTATTTTTATTTTATTTTTTTTAAATGATTTTTATTAAGGTTTCAGTAAAAGATTAAACAGAAAAACATAAAAAAGAAATACACAAATACACAATACATAATCCACAGAAGAAGAAAAAAAAGAAAAAAAACACAGAGAACAAAAAACAAAAAAAGCAACAGAACAATTAAAAACAATATCACCTTTTCATTTCCGTTTTTAAATTTACTTATTTTCTGGACTTCCTCATACCTCCCTCTTTTGTATTCCAGTCCAAATTGTTTGTCCAGCAATTTCTTTTCCACTTTTTTAATCCCAATCTTTAATCTTAATGTAATATAGCATTAAAATTTTACCTCTTAAATACCAAATTTCCATTTCCTTAAACTTCTTTAATCCTAATCTTTAATCTTAGTCTAACTATAACTTTAAATCCTGTACAGCTGGAAACCACTTATTTTCAATCCAACATCACTCTAGCATTCTTTAATTTTGCAGTGTTTCTGTAGATAATCTTTGAATTTCTTCCAATCTTCCTCCACCGACTCTTCTCCCTGGTCACGGATTCTACCAGTCATTTCCGCCAGTTCCATATAGTCCATCAGTTTCATCTGCCATTCCTCCAGCGTGGGAAGTTCTTGTGTCTTCCAATACTTTGCGATGAGTATTCTTGCTGCTGTTGTTGCATACATAAAGAAAGTTCTATCCTTTTTTATCACCATTTGGCCGACCATGCCCAGGAGAAAGGCCTCTGGTTTCTTAGGGAAGGTATATTTGAAAACCTTTTTTAATTCATTATATATCATTTCCCAGAAAGTCCTAATCTTTGGGCACGTCCACCAAAGGTGAAAAAATGTACCTTCAGTTTCTTTACATTTCCAACATTTATTATCGGGCAAATGATAGATTTTTGCAAGCTTGACTGGGGTTATGTACCACCTGTATATCATTTTCATAATATTCTCTCTTAAGGCGTTACATGCCGTAAATTTCATACCTGTGGTCCACAACTGTTCCCAGTCAGCAAACATAATGTTATGTCCAACGTCTTGTGCCCATTTAATCATAGCCGATTTTACCGTTTCATCCTGAGTGTTATTGCTGGACAGAAAATAGCAAGGACTGAATCCTTTGGCAGGAGACAAAGGAGGAGACACGTAATGGCTTTGAGCTGGTTAAAAGTGTAGTTTTAAAGCATTCGCTTCTCCCCTGTCTCTAATCAATCTCTAATCAATCTCCAAAAGGAAGGTTTTGCAATCTGTGAGAGGCAGCAGAACAGAAGGCAAGCCTATTCTCTCCAATATACCTTATTAATAGGTACAGTGTATGTTTCTCACAGGGACGCGGGTGGCGCTGTGGGTTAAACCACAGAGCCTAGGACTTGCTGATCAGAAGGTCGGCGGTTTGAATCCCCGCGACGGGGTGAACTCCCGTTGCTCGGTCCCTGCTCCTGCCAACCTAGCAGTTCGAAAGCACATCAAAGTGCAAGTAGATAAATAGGTACTGCTCTGGTGGGAAGGTAAACGGCATTTCTGTGCGCTGCTCTGGTTCGCCAGAAGCGGCTTAGTCATGCTGGCCACATGACCCGGAAGCTGTACGCCGGCTCCCTCGGCCAATAAAGCGAGATGAGCGCCGCAGCCCCAGAGTCGGCCACGACTGGACCTAATGGTCAGCGGTCCCTTTACCTTTACTATGTTTCTCACGGTACATCAACTGCTGCAATGTATCCACTCAATATATTTTATTTCCAAGTCATACCTTGGAAGCCTTGCAAGTCAAACATTGTGAGTGTTCCAGTTTGCGAACGTTCTTTGGAACCCGAACGTCCGAGGTGGGTTCCGATTAGCTGCAGGAGCTTCCTGCAGCCAATTGGAAGCCGCGCCTTGGTTTCCGAATGTTTTGGAAGTTGAACGGACTTCTGGAATGGATTCCATTTGAGGTACAACTGTACAAACTTTTCGCTGCCTCACAACTTTGCTAGCATACACTGGGTGGAATACAGTGTCATGCTATTACAAACATTCTGTCTGCGCAAGCAAGTAATAATAATAATAATAATAATAATAATAATAATAATAAATATTTATACCCCACCCATCTGACTGGGTTGCCCCAGCTACAAATATAAAAACACAATAAAACATTAAATATTAAAAACTTCCCTAAATAGGGCTGCCTTCAGATGTCTTCTAAAAGTTGTATAGTTATCTCCTTGACACCTGACAGGAGGGCATTCCACAGGGAGGGTGCCACCACTGAGAAGGCTCTCTGCCTGGTTCCCTGTAACCACTTCTCACAGGGAGGGAACTACCAGAAGGCCATCGGTGCTGGACTTCGGTGTCTGGGCTGAACGACGGGAGTGGAGACACTCTTTCATGAAGGAAGGAATACCGCTCCCCTCTCCTTGCCCTGTGCTTTGGGGGTTCTCTGCGCGCACAGACCCAAGCCAATTTTGGGCAGGGCAGGGGAAAGGGGGGGGGAGAAGTCCCATTGCATGAATGAAAGTCCTTTTGCATGGCTTCCGCTGATGGGGCTGCATAGGTGAAACCCCACTTAACATTTAAAAAATGTCTGCATGCAGGCATTTATCCTCTGTTTTCTACGTACAAATCCCGGGGAGGCTGTACAACTCCTGAACTAAGCTGCCTGCAAGCAGTTTGGTGATGGATTAAGAGGACAAACTGAAGATTAATCCTGAAAAAGAAGGTACTGCGATAAGGGAACAGGGTCCAGGGCAGGGAAGTGCTACCTGTTCTGGACAGGGCTGCATCCCACCTGAAGGACCACATTGGCAGTTTGGAAGCTTTTCTGGACTAAGCGCTGCCTATTCAAGCAAAGGGATCAACGGTAGCCAGGAACGCCTTTTCCCAGCTTAGGCCATTACAGTTAAATAAGTTATCCTACAAAAACCTAGACTGGGGTTTCCCAAACTTGGGCCACCAGCTGTTTTTTGGGACTACAAGTCCCATCATCCCTAGCTAGCAGGACCAGTGGTCAGGGATGGTGGGAATTGTAGTCCAAACACACCGTATTTTTTGCTCTATTAGACTCACTTTTTCCCTCCTAAAAAGTAAGGGGAAATGTGTGCGCGTCTTATGGAGCGAATGCAGGCTGTGCAGCTATCCCAGAAGCCAGAACAGCAAGAGGGATTGCTGCTTTCACTCCGCAGCGATTCCTCTTGCTGTTGTGGCTTCTGAGATTCAGAATATTTTTTTTCCTTGTTTTCCTCCCCCAAAAACTAGGTGCGTCTTGTGGTCTGGTGCGTCTTTTAGAGCGAAAAATACGGTAGTTTTGGGAAGCCCTGGCCTAGACCAAGGGTCAGCAAATTTTTCAGCAGGGGGCCGGTCCACTGTTCCTCAGACCTTGTGGGGGGCCGGGCTAAATTGGGGGGGGGGATGAATGAATTCCTATGCCCCACAAATAACCCAGAGATGCATTTTAAGTAAAAGCACACATTCTGCTCATGTAAAAACACGCTGATTCCTGGACCGTCTGCGGGCCAGATTTAGAAGGCGATTGGGCCAGGTCTAGCCCCCCAGGCCTTAGTTTGCCTACCTATGGCCTAGACTTTCCCCGATTTCATAGAAAAATGTCTGAATGCTTCCTTTCCACTTACCAGATCTTCCCGTTACGGTGGTAGCATACTGCAAAGCCCTGATTTGCAAAGCAGGCCTGCATTTCGTATGACAGGTTGTCCTGTAGAACGATGTATGTGAACTGAAATTCTTTTACGTAGCTAATGAGGATAGCAACATTACCTGATGGGTAACTGATTAATAGCTAAGGAAAAAAAGAGTATTTTCACATTGGCGTTTCCTTTTTAATTTTGCAAACGTTTTTTGCTTTGTTAATATTCTTCACTCAAAGCTTGTTACGTATAAATTACCTACGGACTTACTAGTAAACACATTTTCCACCCCCAGAGTCTCAGAGGGTTGAATCCTTTCGGTGCGATCCCTTGAGTCAAGATGTCAAAATGTTTTTGGTTTACTAAGAGACTTTGTTCCTTCCCGAAAGGATTCTCTCTTTTTTAAAACATTAAAGATTTTCATTAGATTTTCATAACTTTAAGCAGATAATTTCAATTTGTTACACATTTCTCTTATAATTTTGACTTCCCACCTTCTTTTCCATGCTGTTTTTATACCCATCCCTTTTATATACTGCAAAATATCACAATTTTCACCAAATGCATATTCCACTGTTACAGGGATCAGCAAACATTTTCAGCAGGGGGCCGGTCCACTGTCCCTCATACCTTGTGGGTGGGGACTATATTTTTTTTGGGGGGTGGGGAAATGGCCCCACAAAGATCCCAATAGATGCATTTTAAATAAAAATAAAATGACAGCCTGCCAGGCAGACCCCACAAAGATCCCACAGATGCATTTTAAATAAAGGGACACATCGTCCCTCTGCCTTGCGAGCAACAGGGGCTGTCGATGGCAGTGGCAGAGGGACGATGAGAGATGCGAAAGGGCTGGTTCCAGAGAGGGGGTGCTTAAAATGGCGCTCAGCCAGCTCAGCCCAGCCCCCTTCCTCCTCTAGGCAGGGCAGGGAGAAGCCAGGAGGAGGGAGGGAGGAGGCGCCACCGCGGTGTGTGTGAGGGAGAGGGGGGAATGGATTGGCGCAGAAAAAAAATGGCGGAGCCCGAACGAACAAAATCCCCATGCCAATCCACGCGGTGATTCCCAGACCATCCACGGGCCGGATCCAGAAGGCAACTGGGCCGGATCCGGCCCCCGGGCCTTAGTTTGCCGACCCCTGCTCTATTACATCACAAATTTCATCTAATATATGTATTCCTCTATTTCATATATTATCATTTCTTCCTGTTGCTCAAATTTCAAACCCTGCCTGCAGTTTCATTTGGTTGCTAAATATATTTTTTCAAATAATCCAAAAAGGCTACCTTCTATGATATGCCTGAGACAGTTTCTCGTTCATTGTGATCTCTGTGCGGATGCACATACAGAAAATTATGCGGGTGAATCTTCAGAACGTTGTAGACACCCACACACCTGTAGCAGGTGGGAGCCGTGAATCCAGTTTCACATTTTAATGGACTGTGTTTGCTCACTGTGTCTTGGGTCAGTCGTAAACTCTCAGCCTAAGCTACCTCACGTGGGTGTTGGGAATATGCAGAAGGAACCGTTGTGTCCTATAGTCTGCTGGATACCTTTTTTGTACTATAAACAGCCGCACATCTTCCCATCCCCACCCCACCCCACCTTACTGGCAACTTTGTACAGCTCCAAAGGCGTCAACCATTCTTAATCTGGCTTTATGATTGTTATTGTCGGATATTAAACTTGGCCAGTTCCATCTGGGAAAAATAGATAGAATATCTTCCCATCAGAATAATATCTTTTCACAGGCTTGGTAGAATGGCAAATCTAAGGGGAAAGCGGGAGAAAAGGGAGAAGATAAGAGCATGGTTATTTATCAATTCTGGAAACTCATTGGTAGCCAGTGAAAATAATTCTGGAAATTCTTTTGTATGCTCTCTGCATCAGCTGTAGTTCCTGAACAGTCTTCAAGGGCAGCCCTGTGGACAATCTAGCCCGGAGGCCACCAGAGCATAGACAAGTTGAAGTTCAACGCTGAACAAACAAGTGTGTAAGTTGCCTGCTTGTGTTATCTAACGAGAAGAGCCAAAGGTAGGCAGTTGTAGAGAAGAAAAGAGTAGCTGGCTGGATTAGGGTGCTCAGAAGACGGGGTGCTGCTGCTGGGTGTGTGTTGTGAATGGATGGATGAAGGGAGGGAGATATGGATGTGGGGATGAATGAAGGGGAGAGAGGTGTGATGGCCTGGGATTCGGACTCGGAGGCTGAACCTGAGGAATCCCAGCCTGCACAGGAGTCCCCGCCTCCAGAACCAGCTGAGCCGGGGCTGGGGCTTGAGCCTGAAGGGTCCTCACCTGTGCTGGATCCTCAGGTGCAGGCACCAGCTGAGTCTGCTCTGGCTCCTGAGGTGATGGAGGACCCATTGCCTGCAGGTGCTCCACTCTCAGCCCCGTCAGGGGAAGCTGAGGTTGCCTCTGGGTCCGGTAACCCTCCAGCCTCTCCTGAGCTGCAGAGGCTCAGGGCAGAGAGGCGGAGGGAACTAAGTTCCTGCAGGAGGAGTGCTCACCTCCAGGCCAGGAGAGGCGAGTCACCTGTGGACCGGGGCCGCCCTATGCCTCGGGGCAGATAAAAGCCAGCCATCCTCAGTCCCAGGTTGCGGGAGCAACATTGGTGGTAGCCAGTTCCTGCCTGCACCCTGTCCTGCTCTCCTGCCAGAGTTCCTGACCTCACCCGACTCCTTGCCTTGGAGCCCGCTTCAGCCTTGACGGACAGCCTCCATACCACGCCCTCGGACTGGACTCGGACCTCGCCGCATGGTTAACCCTCGGGACCAGCACAAGAGGGCAGGGAAAGAAAGAAAAAAGGTATCTCCTTTGCCTGCCTACCTTGGCTATTGCTGGTAGGAAACCCCCAACCACTTCCCCCAGTGACATTCAAGACCTCCTAGGATGCCCATGCCTGTTGTAAAGAATGTGACCACCACGCTTAGGCAGACATTATGTGTCTGCACTATGATAACACAAGGATGTGTGTGATCTGCAAGGCAGCATGATTGGCTGCTGTGAGGAATGAGGAGGCAGCTGGAGCCTCAGCCCACTGCCTGCTGAGTCTTGAGTCTCCCTAGGGACACAGGTGGCGCTGTGGTCTAAACCACTGAGCCTCTTGGGCTTGCCGATCGGAAGGTCAGCGGTTCGAATCCCCGCGACGGAGTAACCTCCTGTTGTTCTGTCCCAGCTCCTGCCAACCTAGCAGTTCAAAAGCACACCAGCACAAGTAGATAAATAGGTTCCACTGTGGCAGGAAGGTAAACGGTGTTTCCATGCGCTCTAGTTTCCGTCACGGTGTTCTGTTGCACCAGAAGCGGTTTAGTCATGCTGGCCAAATGACCCGGAAAGCTGTCTGTGGACAAACGCCGGCTTCCTCAACCTGAAGGGGGGATGAGCACCACAACCGCATAGTCACCTTTGACTGGACTTAACCATCCAGGGGTCCTTTACCTTTTACAAAGATTTGGAATAAAGCAGACCCTGCTCTCAGGTTTACAGTCTGAAAAGCTACAACACAAAAGGAAAAGGGATTGGAAAGGGTGGCAGGGATCCAGAAGGGCTTTCCCTCAAGGAGTTTTCTTGAGATAAGTTATACTAAGGGCTGAGAGTCCCATGGACTGCAAAAAGATCAAACCTATCCATTCTGAAGGAAATCAGCCTTGAGTGCTCACTGGAAGGACAGATCCTGAAGCTGAGGCTCCAAGACTCTGGCCACCTCATGAGAAGAGAAGACGCCCTGGAAAAGACCCTGATGTTGGGAAAGATGGAGGGCACAAGGAGAAGGGGACGACAGAGGACGAGATGGTTGGACAGTGTTCTTGAAGCTACCAGCATGAGTTTGACCAAACTGCGGGAGGCAGTGGAAGACAGAAGTGCCTGGCATGCTCTGGTCCATGGGATCACGAAGAGTCGGACACGATTAAACGACTAAACAACAACAACATGAGACATAGGGACAGGGGCAAGGAGGCAAGATTGTGATTTCTCATGGTCTGGGGAACAGTAGGTACAGCCCCACACAATCGTCTTGCAAACTCATTCATGCACACGACATTGGAAACGGAGGGGGCAGGGGGCAGCTATCTGTAGGATTCACCCCATCGAAGTGCATTCTGGCTGCCATTTGGAAAACTGGCGGACAGACACAGCAAACAGCCACATTTTCAAGCAATTTGGGGGAAACCCAACGTTCTCCCAATGCATCTTTACAGCCACTTGAAACGACCGACATTTATGTACGTAATCTTTGGCAGGATACCAACCCATCTCAGTGCTTTCCTATGGCCACCCCACCCCACCTTGTGGGTATATCTATTTTATTCCGAGCTTATACAAGGGATGGCTACTGAATGCAAGGCAAGGGACAGCAAATCCCAGCCCACTTGCTGAGTAAGTTCTTACTCTAGTAAACGAGCCCCAGAGCTAATTGAGCATCACAAAGGGACTTGGAAGAGGTGTACACTAGAGAGACCCAATAAATTAGGATAACCACATACCTTTAACTGTTCAGCTTTGAACTCCAAATCTAAAGTCAGTATTTCCTTGGGCTCCGGAGCTTTCTTATGGACTTTTTTGGGTTTGGGTGGATAATCTGATAATCTGAATCTGAGTTTCATACCTGAAACAGTTTTAGGAGGAGAGTATTCAAACAATTTGGAATTTCAGTATATAACGCTTACTGTATGTACGTATGTATGTATGTATGTATGTATGTATCTGTCTGTCTATCATCTATCTATCTATCTATCTATCTATCTATCTATCTATCTACAGTGAGGGGGGAAAGTATTTGATCCCCTGCTAAATTTGCCCGTTTGCCCTCTGACGAAGAAATGATCAGTCCATAATTTTAATGGTAGGTTTATTGTAGCTGTGAGAGGCAGAATAACAACAGGAAAACCATCTACCTCTTGTAGCCCAGTCCAGCCTTGTGCAGGTCTACAATCTTATCCCTGACATCCTTGGACAGCTCTTTGGTCTTGGTCATGGTGGCCACTTTGGAATCTGCTGGATTGATTACTTCTGTCGACAGGTGTCTTTTGTACAGGTACTGTAATGAGCTGGGATTACGGGTAAGACCTCTCCCTTACAGCAGGTGCCTCTAATCTCAGCTCCTTACATACAGCGAAGATACCAGGTAGCCTGACATCTGGCTGGTTGACAGGGGGTCAAATACTTATTTCACTCATTATAATGCACATCAATCTCTGACTTTTGTCTTCTGGGTTTCTGGGGGTTTTCCTGTTATTCTGTCTCTCACAGCTACACTAAACCTACCATTAAAATTATGGGCTGGTCATTTCTTCGTCAGAGGGCAAACGGGCAAATTTAGCAGGGGATCAAATACTTGCCCCCCTCACTGTATCTACCTACCTGCAGCCCACACTGTTCCCACTTACACCTTCCCTGGTGGGTCTGCTTTGTTCCACTTCTTTAAGGTTTCAGTTTGGGAGTTAATTTCAGTAGGGAGAATGTAGCAGGACTTGTTTCACGGATTTTGGGAGAAACTCTTTGGTAGAAGAGAAGAAGAAGAAGAGTTTGGATTTGGTATCCCGCCTTTCACTCCCTTTAAGGAGTCTCAAAGCGGCTAACATTATCCTTTCCCTTCCTCCCCCACAACAAACACACTGTGAGGTGAGTGGGGCTGAGAGACTTCAAAGAAGTGTGACTAGCCCAAGGTCACCCAGCAGCTATATGTGGAGGAGCGGAGACGCAAACCCGGTTCCCCAGATTACGAGACTACCGCTCTTAACCACTACACCACACTGGCTCTCAGGAGCTGGAGGGAATGACAGAAGGGCAGGGGTGGGGAGACTAGACTCCCCGGATTCTGCAACCAACGAGAGGCTTGTACTCACACGGCCCAAACTTTATATATTGCTCAAAGACGTCCCTGTACTGATCAATGCCCCCTTTGTCTTCAATCCTAGGAGAGAGAGATGCTGAAAGTAAAAACCCTTAAGATTGCAAAGAATTCCAGGCACAGAGCCAAGGTTTTACACGCTACGTCCACGTGAACATTGTGCAGTGGATAGGCAGGGAAAACAGCCGGGGGAAGGTACGGATTGAAATAAAATTAACGTGTGGGGAAAAAACAAAGCAGACTTGAGTTCACGAGCTGGAACCTGATCTGCTTTTGCTTTTCTCAACTAGAAGGAAAGTGCAGATCCCTAAACTCAGGCACTGGAGCAGGAGAGCTTGATACTGGGGTTTTATTGGTGCTGACCTTTAAAGCCCTAAATGGCCTCAGCCCAGTATACCTGAGGGAGCGTCTCCACCCCCATCGTTCTGCCCGGACACTGAGATCCAGCGCCGAGGGCCTTCTGGTGGTTCCCTCATTGCGAGAAGCCAAGTTACAGGGAACCAGGCAGAGGGCCTTCTCGGTAGCGGCACCCGCCCTGTGGAACGCCCTCCCACCAGATGTCAAGGAAATACAGTGGTACCTCAGGTTACATACACTTCAGGTTACATACGCTTCAGGTTACAGACTCCGCTAACCCAGAAATAGTGCTTCAGGTTAAGAACTTTGCTTCAGGATGAGAACAGAAATTGTGCTCTGGCAGCACGGCGGCAGCGGGAGGCCCCATTAGCTAAAGTGGTGCTTCAGGTTAAGAACAGTTTCAGGTTAAGAACGGACCTCCGGAACGAATTAAGTACTTAACCCGAGGTACCACTGTACCAGACTTTTAGAAGACATCTGAAGGCAGCCTTGTTTAGGGAAGCTTTTAATGTTTAACAGACTATTGTATTTTAATATTCTGTTGGAAGCTGCCCAGAGTGGCCGGGGAAACCCAGCCTGATGGGCAGGGTATAAATTATTATTATCATCATTATCATTCTCTTCCTCCATGCAGCGTACTTGAGGGGTGGCTGGGCAAGCAAACTGCATTGCTTGTGGACAGTTGCTGCTGCATGTTGATCATTTTCAGGCTGTCAGCCTTCAGGACCCACAGCTGTCAATGCACACAGTGACATCAACAGAGGTATAGTGTCTAGCTCAAGGAAAGTGATCATACCACTCTGTTCTGCCTTGTTCAGACCACACGTGGAGTACTGTGTCCAATTCTGGGCACCGCAATTTAGGAAGGATGTTGACGAGCTGGAACGTGTGCAGAGGACAGCAACCAAGGAGATCAAGGGTATAGAAACCAAGCCTTAGGATGGGGTCAGCAAACTTACCGCGCCTCAGGCCGGTGTCTCCAGTGCCGATCGTGCACCGGACCGGAGGGCAGGGGAGTGCGTGCCCACACACTATTTCCGGCGCACTTCTGGGTCGGAGGAGCAGCGGAAATAGGTTGTGCGCATGTGCACGGGCCTCCTCCAACCCGGATGTGCACTGGAAATAACGCTTGCGCATGCGCAAATAACACTTGTGCATGCGCACAAGCTATTTCCAGTGCTTCTGCAACCCGGATGTGCCACACAAGAGCGGGCAGCGGCAGTGGGCAGCAGGGCTTGCCATGGGCCGGATAAACGAGTCCCTTGGGCCTTATCCGGCCCACGAGCCTTAGTTTGGGGACCCCTACCTTAGGAGAAGCACTTGAAGGAAGTGGAAAAGAGGAGACTGAGAGGAGATATGATAGCCATCTTCAGATATCTTAAGGGCTGTCACATGGAAAGGGAAACAAGCTCTGGAGGATAGGAATCGAACAAATGGCTTCAAGTTACAAGAAAGGAGATTCCGACTAAACATCAGGAAAACCTTCCTGACTGTAAGAGCTGTTTGACAGTGGAACGGTCTCCCTTGGGACCCTGTGGACTCTCTTTCCTTGGAGGTTTTTAAGCAGAGGTTGGATGGCCATCTGTCATGGATGCTTTAGCTGAGATTCCTTTATTATAGGGGGTTGGACTAGATCAGGCATGGCCAAACTTGGCCCTCCAGCTGTTTTGGGATTACAACTCCCATCATCCCTAGCTAGCAGGACCAGTGGTCAGGGATGATGGGAATTGTAGTCCCAAAACATCTGGAGGACCATGTTTGGCCATGCCTGGACTAGATGACCCTTGGGGTCCCTTCTAACTCTACAACTCTATGGTTATATGACATTTAGAAAGCAGCTCCATGTGCTGAAAAAGCCAAGATGGAGGGGTAGCACAATAAAAAAAATATGAGGAGAAATCTATATATTACTAGCATCTATCTACTTTGGATTTTTCTCCATAGCAAACATGTTGGGAAGGGAACAGATGTCAGGAGACACTATGAGCCCCTTATTTTTGTCTGTCAAGGCTGAAGCATTTATTCCGTACGCTGGAAGTGCTCAAAATGACAACTTAAGATGGATTCTTCTTGGGAGTGAATAAAAGTCCTGGATTCTTTTCTTTTTTTTAGTGGCTATAAATTCTACATTGGAAAGTTGCTTTCCGGTTGTGAGTCTTATTCCATTGTAGATAGGGGCTGCCATACGTCCGGGTTTTCACAGACAAGTCCAGAAATCGCTCAGCAAAATGGCGTCCGGGTGCATTTTTGCTGAATCAGCAAAATGTCCAGGAAAACCCGGACGTATGACTAGTAGGGCTATTTAAAAAAAGAAACAAACAAAGGAAAGGCCTAAAACATTTTTTGGGGGGTGGAGAAGAGGTTCAACAGCTCAACAACTTTGTTTGGATTTTCACTACTGGGAATACGGCAACCCGAATGGTAGACTGCCAGATCAAACTCCTCTGAAGACCGTTTCCACAGTCCTGTCATATTTAGCAATCAGAAAACAAAGCGGGAAGTCTCTGGGTAGTTTGAGAACTGAAGAAGTCATCTCCAAAATCACTCACTCTTTTATCAGTGTCTTTTTAGTCTTGTTCTCTAGCCAAGAGCCTTCCGATTGGTGTCGGTGAGGAGTGATGTCGATTGTACTTCCTTCGGGGCTGTTTTCTATGAGCTCCTGAACTACACACTGGAAAATGTCCTTGTATGTCCTGCAACACATAAGCTATACAAAACCCAGTAATCTGAAAATCACTTTAATGGAAGCTGCTATCAAGTTTTTCTCATTTACGGGCTATTTTATCCTAGATCCCAAATTTGCTAGTTCTTAGCTTTGTTTGGAGGGACGCAGGTGGCGCTGTGGGTTAAACCACAGAACCTAGGACTTGCTGATCAGAAGGTTGGCGGTTCAAATCCCGCAATGGGGCGAGCTCCCATTGCTTGGTCCCAGCTCCTGCCAACCTAGCAGTTCGAAAGCATGTCAAAGTGCAAGTAGATAAATAGGTACCGCTCCAGTGGGAAGGTAAATGGCATTTCCGTGTGCTGCTCTGGTTGGCCAGAAGTGGCTAAGTCATGCTGGCCAAATGACCCGGAAGCTGTACGTCGGCTCCCTTGGCCAATAAAAGCGAGATGAGCGCCGCAACCCCAGAGTCAGCCACGACTGGACCTAATGGTCAGGCATCCCTTTACCTTTACTAGCTTTGTTTAGCTCTCTTGCGTCACCTCTGGGCTGCCCGTATTTTGCAGGAACAAATTCAAGCACATACCAAAAGTTCAGATTCGCATGATTAAAGTGCCCTGCCACCTTAGCAGAACAAGTTCTTTAATGGCCTTTTTTGTGGGTAGAAAAGTGATGGGGAGATGCACTGAAAAGTGTTGGATCAACAAATGATTAACAGGGAAATATACAGGCACCACACAATTAAATCAGGAGGAGTGCTCATTGTTGAAGAACCTCCCTGGAAACAAATGAGAACAAATGCTCATTAAAGACTAGGCAGAAGAACATTGCTGTTGTCGGGGCCGGCCCACCCATGAAGCAAGGCCAGGTGGCTGCCTCAGGGGGCAGGATCTGCAGGGACAGCAGATCTCAGTTCAGATCTTTATTCCCCTCCTTGTTCCTGATGTAGAGCTTCACTCCCCCTTCTTCCGTGTTAGGGAGAGAGGACACCATTTTGTGGTTTGCCTCAGGTGCCAAAATGGCCTGCTCTGGTTGTTCAGTTACCGTATTTTTCGCTCCATAAGGTGCACCTGACCATAAGGCGCACCTAATTTTTAGAGGGGGAAATCAAGAAGAAAAAAATTATCCCCCCCAGCCCCAAAGAGCAGTGCTTTTGCTGGAGGTGGGGGAATTCCCCCACCTCGTAGAAAAGCCCGCAGGAGCTGCACACCCTTTAAGGAGCGCACAGCTCCTGCGGGCTTTTCTAGGAGGAGGGAGAAGGGACTGACTGGCCGCGTCAGTCCCTTCTCCCTCCTCGTAGAAAAGCCCGCAAGAGCCATGCGGAGCTTGTGTGCCTCTTGGGGGCTTTTCCTGCCTGTCTCCCCCTGCATTCGCTCCATAAGACGCACTCACATACCAGAACAGTTATTATAGAGGCTTTAGAGAGCCTGAGCAAACTTATCCGCTGCAAGTTTAAAAGGGGGAATGTTACTCTGCTAAATTGTGAACTTGTTAACACAAGTTGGAAAGGCTATTATCAGACAATATGTCCTGCATCCCTGATGCTCACAGAACAGAGATCTCTGGGCTCGCTTCTAAAGAAAGGGCAGAGAAACTGCAAACAAAGGGCAGCTGGGTACGGCCACCCCAATGGGGGTTGATCTCAGCCCCACTGGGGTTAGAAGGGAGGGGAGGAGGCTGACTGGGTCTCTTCCCACTGATACCTGCTTCTCCTCCTGCTCCAAAGGAAACCACCAGGGCACATACTTTTTTCTGGGAAGTATTCCACTTTCAGAAGTGAAGTTGTTGTTGTTTGTTTTGAAAATGAGAACAATACTCACACATTCCATTTTCTCTGGCCTCTCATCCAGGTATTCTGCTGTTGGTAAAGGGTTCAGTGCCGTGGCGCAAAACTCACAGCAACCGAGAAGGCAAAGATCGGTTTCAGAATGATCCTGAAAAAGAGGTGGAGGGGTAAGCAAATGGCTTCTCAAACTAAACTAGCTATACACTTTCCAATACTGGAAAGGGAATCAGTTGCCCACTAGGGGAGAGTGGCTATGTAAGCTCTCAGAATGCTTAGAATTAGCCAAATTGACAGACATAAGACAAAAACCAAAAAGTGAAGTAAAAAAAGAATGGGAGTGCCTAAATTACCGTATTTTTTGCACCATAACACTCACTTTTTTCCTCCTAGAAAGTAAGGGGAAATGTCTGTGCGTGTTATGGAGCAAATGCCTGCGGGTGGCGGGGGGGATCTGCTGCAGTCGTGAGCAGAGGATCCACGGTTCCCCCTCCTTCCCTCCTCCGTGGTTACAAAGCATGGATCCACATGGATCCTCAGGATTTTTGCATTGGGCTACTCCCAACTCACTGTCAGATCACATGTCTGTGGCCACAGCATGAACCACAAAAATCATATATCCACTATTTCGTTTAGAATATTTTTTTCTTGTTTTCCTCCTCTAAAAACTACGTGCGTGTTATGGTCTGGTGCGTGTTATAGAGCGAAAAATACGGTAATACCTCAAAAGTCAAGGTTCGAGGGCAGAAATCTGGCTGAGTCTGGAATAACCTTGTGAAGTGAAAGGATATGAAAGAAGGATTTATATCTAGATGTTAGGATAGAGATGATAAAGAAAACAGGAAAACAGGAAGACACAATGAGAGATAAAGGAGGTGCTGTGGGATTGGTGGAAGTCAATGTCTTGTTGTTGTTTTAGTGTTTATAATATTAACTTGTGAGATATGGATTTTTGTTGTTGTTGTTGCTTTCTTTAGTTTTCGAATGTTGATTTTTGTGTGTTGTGTATTGTTATTTTTTGATATCTTTCGTGTTGTTGTTGTGTGGAAAATACTAATAAAATTTATTAATAATTTTTAAAAAAAATTTAAAAAAAACCAAACCTAGCTATACACAGGAAAACATGTATATCAGGGGTGCCCAAACTTTTTTCAAAGAGGGCCAGATTTGATGAAGTGAATGTGTGTGAGGGGATGTTGAGCTTTTTTTAGGATTGAAGTTGCTGAGCTCTTTTTTCAGGATTTTACCAGGAAATGAACCGCCCCCCCCAAGTTGTTGAGCTTGACCTTTTTTTTACAATTTTAGCCCAAAATTGTTTAGGGTTGAAGTTTTACCCCAGGAAATAAACTGCCAAAGGGGCAGGATTATACCGACCCAAGGCGGTCTTTGGCTATGCCTGATGTATATGAATGTGGTTTAGGCTCAGAGTCAAATCACTTTTCCATGAGGAGGCCCCTTCTGTGATTCCAGACCAGGACAAATGAACCACTCATCCAATACAATGGGATTGACTTTGGCTCCCTGAAAACATTTGCTTTCATTTAAACAAATATTTAGAACTGTGGGGAAACAGTTTTAAAATGAGCAGAAAACTGCTGTGGATGGGTGGGAATTCATATCTGCAGGAGAGTGGCTGTGTCAGTTAGGTGCGAACTATTGTGCCTAAAGAGTGTTTGTGTAATCCTTGGTTCTTGCCATCCTCTCTCTAAAATATTGTCTCCAGTAGTCAAAATCTACATTTCCAGGGCTTTTTTTTTTCCAGGGAGAACTCACAGAAACTCAGTTCCAGCACCTCTCAGGTGGGCGCCATTGCCATTCTAAGAGAATGAGGGAGGTGTTCATGGTGAGTTCAGGCACCTCTTTTTTTCTAGAAAAATAGCACTATACATTCCCCACAGGTAGATCGTTATATGTGACCAAAGATGTCAATTGTACGAAACAAACCCCTACAAAGAGATGAACTACAATACTTTTGGTCCCAGCTGTACGTGATCTCACCTCAATATCTGACTCGTGATCTTCAGAACTCTCTTTGAAGTTTCCAAGCAAACGCATCAGAAATATTTTAGAAGGGGGTAAATATACAAAGATGGAAAGTTAATCCTTGGCAAAAAGCTTTTGTTAGGTTTGCTTCTTTGTTCAAAATGCAAGGTGCTTGGTGCAAACCAAGTTGAATGATAGGCATGGGACATAGAGGAGCCCTTTTCAGATATATAGAAGACCAACATATTCTCTTTGTAGGTGTCAAAGAGTGGTGGTGAAGTACAGTCATACCTTGGAAGTCGAATGGAATCCATTCCGGAAGTCCGTTCAACTTCCACAACATTCGGAAACCAAATTGCGGCTTCTGATTGGCTGAAGGAAGCTCCTGCAGCCAATCAGAAATCACGGAAGCCCCATTCGGCTTCCAAAAATAGTTCGCAAACCGGAACGGTCACTTCCCGGTTTTGCCAAAACGTTCCGAGAACTAAGCTGTTCAAAAACCAAGGTACGGCTGGTATACATATTTCACCAAATGTTCCTAAAATCTTAATTGACCTGCTCTTTCTTATTGGGTATCGGAATTCTCATTTTGCTGCTACCATAAGCAATCTTAAACAAGAACACCTTCTATACCTCTGTGCAAATATGTGGGATATTGCCTTGCTATAAACCAGTTGCCTCAGCTCTCTTGAGCTATATTTGGCTACTGTGTGGTCTCAGCCTACAGTTCAGGGTCTTGGGTTTGACAGTGAACGCCTTAACCCTTTTGAACATCAGCTGGGGAAGACTGGAAGGGATAAATCATCATAATTTACAGGAAGACTTCTGTGTGTGCACTGTGATAGGAATTCTGAGGTCTTAGATATATGTTAAATGTTCATAAGCGTACCAACCAAGCACGTACTTAGATCAGCACAGGAAGACCGACCTGGAACCATTTTGATTCCTAAACTGAGCAAATGTTTTCTCTGCAAGGTCAAAGTGGGAAACCTCCCCATTGTCTCTTTCCTCACAAATCCTGTCTTAAGGGCACATTTAAGATATGAATAGGGTGTGAGCCTGTGACATGGCCCAGGAACTAAGTATTTATCATTACAAAAGACTGGCCAGGCTACCCAGGCAATCCAATCAAGTAACCTGCCAGACAGGAGATAAACAACATTCAAATTTCTGTTTTAAGACCGCCTTTTCTGTGATGTAGGTATGATGTATCTGAAGGGTGGTCTTAGGTTACACCCCTTCTGTGATGTATGTACGATGTTCCTGGGGGTTGTCTTGATCTACAGGGTGGCAATTTCAAAAGTCCATATAAGGCCTTGCACGCCATTGTTCTGAGTCCTCCTCCTTTCCTGCAGGTGAGGGGAGCACCCTGTTGCAACACATCAATAGAGATCAAGCTTACTAGCTGCTTTGCTTCTCAATATTCTCTGGTTGGCCTCTGTTATTTTCTCCTATCAATAGGGAACCTATGTAAGGACTCTATATGGGCTCTTGGATACCCCATAAGGGAAAAGGGCAATTTTTGTTTACAATAGCACACAGTTTAACTCAGAGCCCTAACGAGGCCCAAATATTTATTCTGTATTATTACTGGTTTTTCACAAATTTGCCCATGGGAGGAGCAAAGAGAAATAGGATTGCGGCAACGGAAGCCACCTGTTAATTAAGAGAAGAAAAAGCACAAGCTGTCATCTTGATGATTACTATGCCATGTGGGTGCTGCAAAAATGGAAACTAAACTTCAAAGCGTAAATGGCATCCAGCCCATAATAAGCCACCATGTTGAAAGGTCCCAGCAGCAACATGGCTGTCTACTCCAGCACACAGTAGTTTGCAGAATTCTTTCTCATTCTTCCTACCTGATGTCCATTTTGAACAGAACTCAGAACTATCAGAACCTTCCCTGTGAAGGTGGTAAGGTAAAGGTAAAGGGGCCCCTGACCATTAGGTCCAGTCGTGACCGACTCTGGGGTTGCGGCGCCCATCTCGCTTTATTGGCCGAGGGAGCCGGCGTACAGCTTCCGGGTCATGTGGCCAGCATGACTAAGCCGCTTCTGGCGAACCAGAGCAGCCCACGGAAACACCGTTTACCTTCCCGCCGGAGCGGTATCTATTTATCTACTTGAACTGACATGCTTTTGAACTGCTAGGTTGGCAGGAGCAGGGACCGAGCTCACCCCGTCACGGGGATTCGAACCGCCGACCTTCTGATCGGCAAGTCCTAGGCTCTGTGTTTTAACCCACAGTGCCACCCATGTGTGAAGGTGGTAGTTGAATGGAATACGATACCTTATAACCTTATTTCTGTATCAAATAGTTCAACCTGTGGCTGATGAGATGCCTTAAAACCTTATCAGTGTGACAAGGCGTACCTTCACTGACCACTTCAGCGACATCTTTTTTTTCTAATATGCTGCGAACTATTAGCTCTGTGGAACAAACACACAAACAAAGACTTTTGTGGCCTTCTGAAACTGAACCTCAAGCTTCTTAAATGAAAAAAATCCCCATCAACGATTTGCCTCCTGCCTCCCCCACCCCCCCACAAACTGATATGTTGATTGCAAGCAGGCGCAAGAGTCAACACTCATTGACATCTCTACCTTAACTAACACTTGATATCTTGTAGATGATTGTGTAAAACTGACTCCACTGATGAGCATTGTGTTTGAGGTGACATGAAGCTCTGCAAACATTTTCTCTTTGGTTGATCTGTGATAGTTTATCCACGCACACAAAACACTGACACCAGTTATCAGGTGGCTAACATGTGAACAAGCTCTAGGAGAATGCATTCAATTGGGTCAATATGTCACTCCAGAGTTTCCCTGAAAGATCTACCGTTTTTTTCGCTCTATAGGACGCACCTTTTCCCCTCCAAAAATTAAGGGGAAATGTGTGTGCGTACTATGGAGCAAATGCAGGCTCCTTGGCTTCAGCGATAGCAACGCGAAGCTTCTGAAACGCAGAGGGAGCGCTCCCTCCGTGCTCCGGAGGCTTCGCGTTGCTTTCGCTGAAGCCTGGAGAGCGAGAGGGGTCGGTGCGCACCAGGCTTCAGGGATAGCTGCCTGAAGCCTTCGGAGCGCAGCGCGAGTTCTCGCAGCGCTCCGGAGGCTTCAAGTTCCTTTTGCTGAGGCCGGGAGAGCGAGACTCTCCTGGTTTCAGCAGAGAGGGAGAGCTGTGCAGCGCCCCTTCAGCGAAGTGGGAGGAGAAATGGAAGGGGCTCCGTTTCTCCTGCCGCTTCACTGAAGGGGTGCTGAGCAGAGAGGGGGAGATTTTTTTTCTTGTTCTCCCCCTCTAAAACAAGGTGCGTCCTATGGTCGGGTGCGTCCTATAGAGCAAAAAATACGGTAAACGCATTACCGTTCATTGTTCACCCTTCAATTGCTTCTACGGATCAGTTAAGAAAAGCATCATAAGGAGGTCTAGCCAAGCTACCATGGACACTTGAACCCCAATAATGTTAAGTACATCTTGCTGTTGCTAAAACTCACCCTCACTTTCTCCAACCAAAGGTCTCTCCTTGACAATCCTGCTTGCCTGCTCCACCTTCCTTCTCCCTGTGTGAGAAATACTGGTATATATCGCAATGCTGAGACAAGCAACATAAAAACCCAATACATAATCAACGCAATAAAATACTGTATTCAACATGTAACGAAGGCAGCTGCCGAATACACTAACCGTACCGCCAGGACTTAAAAAAATTCATATGACGTATCAAAAGCCAAAGCTTTGGCGTTTGCTGGAAGCAGCATAATCGCAGTGGCAGGCAAACCTCCATGGAAGAGAATTCCACAAATCCGCTCCACTTCCCAGTGGGGAGGAAGAAGAAGAAGAAGAAGAGTTTGGATTTGATATCCCGCTTTATCACTACCTGAAGGAGTCTCAAAGCGGCTAACATTCTCCTTTCCCTTCCTCCCCCACAACAAACACTCTGTGAGGTGAGTGGAGCTGAGAGACTTCAGAGAAGTGTGACTAGCCCAAGGTCACCCAGCAGCTGCATGTGGAGGAGCGGAGACGTGAACCCGGTTCCCCAGATTACGAGTCTACCACTCTTAACCACTACACCACACTGGGCGGGGGACTTTCTCCAACGTTGCCCAGGGGATCCCGGTCACATCAGAGCCCGGCCAGCCAATCCGCTTGCCGGGGGGGCATGCTGGGACCGTTTAAACCAAGGAGCGAGCCGGAGGGCTTCCTCTTTGGCTCGCTTCCTCAATCACCCGCCCTCCCTATTTTGCAGTTTTTAGGCACTGGCCTTGCTATGGACCTCGGTTGGTCGCCTTGGTTGTCCAAGGGGCCTGGTAGGAATTTTCCCCACTTGGCAAATTGGCACTGGCCATTTGGTTTTCGCCTACCTCATAGCAATCGTCACAACTTTGTTAGGGTTGCGGTTAGACATTGTTGACCTTGTGTGGGGGAGGGGAGGTGTGGCCATCACCTGCCCTTCCATGCTTAAGGGTATTCCGTTGAAGGAATCCGGGGGTGTTGATCATGTCTGAAGCCCGGGTGCGGGGCTAGGGCCATGACACGACCCTGACAGGAACACCAGGAGGAGCTCGAGTTGGTTTGCATCGACAGGGCTCCCCCTACCGGTGGTTTACCCTTACCGGACTTCCTGCGCAGTGGGCAGGAGTCAGATATAGTAGTCGGGTCCAATCAATGCCTAAGCCAATACCGCTCACATTCTGTAATTCAATAAAGTTGTGGCCCAATTTGCCCAATAACATAAACCTAATATCCGTGTCCTTGTGTGAGTTATTTCCCAACGAGGGGGTGGCTGCGGGGTCTCGACACACAACTTAAAGGCTGCTATAAAGGTAAAGGGACCCCTGACCATTAGGTCCAGTCGTGGCCGAGTCTGGGGTTGCGGCGCTCATCTCGCTTTACTGGCCGAGGGAGCCGGCGTACAGCTTCCGGGTCATGTGGCCAGCATGACTGAGCTGCTTCTGGTGAACCAGAGCAGCACAAGGAAATGCCGTTTACCTTCCCACCGGAGCAGTACCTATTTATCTACTTGAACTTTGATGTGCTTTCGAACAGCTAGGTTGGCAGGAGCAGGGACCGAGCAACGGGAGCTCACCCCGTCACGGGGATTCGAACCACCGACCTTCTGATCAGCAAGTCCTAGGCTCTGTGGTTTAACCCACAGCACCACCCGTGTCCCTATAAAGGCTGCTATAGAAGATGCTTTTTGAGGGTGGTGGAACAACCAAGAGGGCAACTTCTGTTGATCTTAACACCCAAGAGGGTCTGTAGGGAAAGAGGCAACCTGGGGCAAGTAAGAAATACATACCTACACAGAAGAGCAGAGCATTCCAAAGCAATACAAAATTAGTGAAAACTGAATTTTAGACTTTGAAAGTGTGCAAATTCATCTTCCCTCTCCTCATTAAGGGTTAGACATGATCTCTTAATTTTGTAGTAGTTTAAAGGAATCTAGCTAATAAAAGAAATAGCATTTGAGAAATAAAACCACAGCATTTTAAATGCAATCAATTTTGCCAAGTCAGCCCAAAGCTGGTTTTCAACATGTACATATGCTTGTGTCATTGTTTAGAACACACTCTCCGAAAAACAAAACTGTTTAAGGCCAGCACAGTATTCTTATTATCATACTTTTTTCTTCTGAACTCATGTCTGAGTAACTCCATTCTGTCTGAGTTTCCACATCTGTAACACCACATCTTCTGCAATGGGAAAAGAAAGGTTCAGTAAGAGACCTCCTATTTTAACAAAGATACCCCATATATACGTTGGTGTTGTGTTGAGGGCAGGGGGAAAGAATTCTGAGCTACGTAATCCAAAGTTCTGTGCTCCACACACACACACACACACAAAGTTTACGGTTGTAAATTTATATTGTAAACTGCTTTGAGGTGTGGTTGTTGTTGTTTTTTTACAGTCAAGCAGTATATAAATTTCATAAATAAAATAAAGCAGCATGGCAATGCTGAGTTTAGTTACATCTGCAGTAGAGAAGGAGACCATTTTTTCTATTTGGACAGAAGGGAATTTTTCTCAATTCCCTGACAAATTGTAATTCTGCTGTTTCACACTGGAGTTTCCCTTTTAAATTCCTTTGCCCCAAAGTAGCTACCAGAAGATTAGCTGCAGAGTCCCCTGGTAGACTGAAATGCTATCCTACGGATTTATGAATATTGCTATTTCTGATGTCAGACTTGTTTTCATTGGTCGCTTTTCATAGATACTGCCCGGTTTGTCCTGTGCAGAATGTGGAACATGCAATTACACTGGAAGATGAACAGGTGATTATCAAAGAACATTATCAGGCCCTGCAATAGCGTTGCCAGAGTGTATTTATGGTTTTCCTTGGAACTAGTTTTTGCCTCTTCCCTCCCCTCAACAAGGGATCATTTGTCAATTAGGAGTGATGCACAGATGTCATTTTTCAGATGGAAGAGGGCCTGTTCTGGTGGCTTTTTGGATTCAGTATTAGAAACAAGTCAGCACGGTTCTGAGCTAAACCATATCTTAAACTACTGATTTACCGTATTTTTCGCTCTATAAGACGCACCAGACCACAAGACGCACCTAGTTTTTGGAGGAGGAAAACAAGGGAAAAAAATTCTGAATCTCAGAAGCCAGAACAGCAAGAGGGATCGCTGCGCAGTGAAAGCAGCAACCCCTCTTGCTGTTCTGGCTTCTGGGATAGCTGCGCAGCCTGGATTCGCTCCATAAGACGCACACCCATTTCCCATTACTTTTTCGGAGGGGAAAAGTGAGTCTTATAGAGCAAAAAATACGGTAATAGGCTGGCTGGCTGGACACAGCACCATTATTGGTGTTAATGAAATGTAGAGCAGAATGTTACTAACATTGTTGGCAACTCTGCTTTCATTGATGTTTGAGACTCAAGAACTGAAGATGATGGAGATCTCGTCTGGGAATCTGAAGGAAGAGAGAAAGGGACTTCTTTTAAAATCAACGGAATAAAACAGAGGTAAAAGTTGTCTCCGTTTCATTAGCTCAGAATAAAGGCTTCTTTCCTCTCCTGGGGAGAGTGCTATGAAGGGAGATTCCCAAAGCACTGAGCAAAGAACTAGCAACCCACTTTGTACTGTAGGTCACCAGCAACAGCCATTGAGCTGTTGGGCAATTGGGAACCAACACAAGGGATTTGGGCAGCTGGTTGGAACAACTCGCCTGTCACTCACATGACATCGTAACGCCATCGCGTTATTTTCAGGTGTGGCGAACCTGCTCACGTGCCAAATTTTACCTGCATTGCTGATCCAGATGAGGTTCTGACCCATGGGGCCAAAAATGTTTCCCATCCCTGGGCTAGTGGGACTGGTCATCTTGACTACAGATTTGACTCAGCAAAACATCTACCCAGGATATTATAAATAATAATAAAGCAATAAATAATAGAGACACAAGCAGCTTCAAATCCACATTAAACTCCCAGGTGGATGAACCCAGTGCCCTTGCCCCGATCTTATTCAGCTCCTGGTTCCCCAGCTGCTTTTGAGACTTTCTAAAAATAAATAAAATAAAATAATAAAATAAAATAAAATAAAATAATAAAATAAAATAAAATAAAATAAAATAAAATAAAATAAAATACTAGATTAAATTGTAGACTTCCCATATCTCATGTAGTTGAGCAAATCTCTATTTTGCTGGCTGACAGTAATGTATTTATTACCGCACTGGTTGCAACATTTGCCTTGGCTGCAAGTACCGTATTTTTCGCTCTATAAGACGCACCAGACCACAAGACGCACCTAGTTTTTGGAGGAGGAAAACAAGGAAAAAATATTCTGAATCTCAGAAGCCAGAACAGCAAGAGGGATCGCTGCACAGTGAAAGCAGCGATCCCTCTTGCTGTTCTGGCTTCTGAGATAGCTGCGCAGCCTGCATTCACTCCATAAGACACACACACATTTCCCCTTACTTTTTAGGAGGGAAAAAGTGAGTCTTACAGAGCAAAAAATACGGTAAGTTGAGAGCTAGGCACCAAGACAAATTTCATAAGGAGGAGTGTGAGATGTGGAGTGCTAAACTTATGCAGGTGTGATTTTTGCATTTTTGTATGTTCGCTTTGCTGCTGCTGCTGCTGCTGTTGTTCAATTTTAAATCAATTATTTGTATTTTATGCATTGTGACCAGAAAGTCTCAAATACTCACCAGGGAATAATATACAGGTACCTTTTTTTGAGGATTGTTCAGTGTTTTCTGAGACATCTTCGCATGCGTCCTCTACATGGATAACAACAGAAGCTACCTTTGGTTCTTTTTCCTCAGACAGACTTTGCTCCTTGCTTCGACTTGTAGTAGCTTCGCTCTTATTCAGAAAGAGATTGCTCTGTGTAATGAACGCTTCTATTGACTCTCTTGCAAGGGCAGATTTAGAAGCAGAATTCTTCTCTTGCAGTTTCTTAACGTTTTCTTCAGTGAGAAGCAAGCTGGAAGAGTTGGGATCCGCTGGCTGGGATGTAGAAAGTGAAGGGGTTCTTTTTGATTCCAAACGGTCTTTACTACCAGGCCCTGGGAGCTTCTGTCCGCTTGACATATTGTCAACACAAAAAAGGAGACTGAGCTCTGAAAGCAATAAAGGAAACAAAGGGACAATGAAATAATAAATATTAATATTATTTACCCGTCCTTCACCCTGAGCTCCTGGGGCCGGTTACAACTACAGTAATACCTCAGGTTAAGTACTTAATTTGTTCTGGAGGTCCGTTCTTAACCTGAACTGTTCTTAACCTGAAGCACTACTTTAGCTAATGGGGCCTCCTGCTGCTGCCGTGCCGCCGGAGCCCGATTTCTGTTCTTATCCTGAAGCAAAGTTCTTAACCCAAGGTACTATTTCTGGGTTAGCGGAGTCTGTATCCTGAAGCGTATGTAACCTGAGGTACCACTGTATTAAAACACAATGTTTAAACATTTTAAAGCCACTTATGAGCACAAAAAACAGGTAGGTCCTAAAACAGGGCTACCAGACGTCCCCGGTTCCCGGGGACACTCCCCATATTTGCAAATTTGTCCCCGGACAAATTCCGTCCCAGGAATGTCCCCAGATTTGTAAATCTGTCCCTGGGAAACGTGGCAGTGGCAGCCTCAGCAGCCCAAAACCAGCCTGTTAGCGCAGTTGGCTCTGGCTGGCTTCAGGAGCTGCTCGCTGCCGTGGCGCCCGCCATTTTTCCTGCGCCACGGCAGCGAGCATCTCCTAAAGCCAGCCAGAGCCAACTGCACTACCAGGCTGGCTGGATAGTGTTCTCGAAGCTACCAGCATGAGTTTGACCAAACTACGGGAGGCAGTGGAAGACAGAAGTGCCTGGCGTGCTCTGGTCCATGGGGTCACGAAGAGTCCTGGGCAACGGCTGCCCGCCCGTGACTCCCGAGCCTCCCCTGATCTGTCAAAACAAAGGGGGAAGGAGGCAGGAGATCAGGGAAGGTTTGGGAGTCATGGGCACGCGGCGCACCGTTGCCTAGTTTTTTGAAAACTGCGCATTTATGTCTCACAGGGTGCAAAAGAAGGGCTTTGCACCTTTTTCCCCCCAATAATTTTTATTAAGTTTCCATTTGCCAGATTAAACATAACATACCAATGAAGGAAGGTGAGGACAGGTGACCTCACCTAGGCCTGAAGTCACCCCCCACTAAAGGAGGACAGGTGACCTCACCTAGGCCCGAAGTCACCCCCACCAAAGCAGGCTCAAAGCTTCTCAAAACTTTTCAAAATCATTTTCTCAGCAGCTAAGCATCAGAAACATTCCGCTCTGCTGTAACAAAGGTAGAGAACAGTCCATTGTTTCTCAGGCCTTTCTCATGCCTTCTGGCCTTGCTAAAGAACCACATTGCAACTTACTTTCTGTCCGGGAACCATGCCAGAACAAGAGATTGAAACATATCTGAACATGCTGAAAACCCCTTGGCTTCTCACCCCCCCCCTTTCCTGGGAAGGGTGCCAAGAGTCCACAATAGTCCCAAGACAGCTTTCTGTTCATGCTCAGAGGAACTCCTGAGGGAGGAGAAAGGGGGAGGGAACTGGAAAGGGGTATATATGCTTGTGCACATGATTGTGAACTCGTGCATGCTTTTTGTGAACTATCACACTTGCTCCTACTACCAGTTCATGGATGGTAGAAATAAAAAGCCTTTTCATCCGAACTATTCCTTGAGTGTCTGTTGACTCCCACTTCCCTTTCCCAGGCGCAGTATTTTTCCCACCCGAGGGCAAAGCCTCATAAGGCTACACCGATTAGTCCAAATTATATCAATACACCTCATAAAGTCCAAATGTATTCCAGATTAAATTTTTTTTGTGGGGGGTACCCATGCTTCTCAATTGTCAGGAATCCAAACATCCAAATTCGTGCTGCTTTCCTATTTGCAATGATGTTTCCAGTCCCATCTTCTCATCTTTGTCATTACTCATTTTTCTTTTCAGTCACCTCCGAGTTTCCTCACAAGTGGATTGAAAGGAACAGTCTTATTTTGTCTCTGTGTGGGCTTTGTAATGCTCTCTCGTATATCTCTCACAAAAATCCAACAATCTAAGTTTTCACTCGAGCAGACGCGCCATCTTGTCCTTCCGATGAAATACGATGTAAATGTCCGCTCCTTTACTTTCCAGACCCGCTGCCTCATGGCTTTCACCTTTTTACAATATGCATGTGTGCTTGGGCCCAGGGCCTTTTGCCTCACCATCCCCACTACTGACTCCCTGTTGCTACTCAGCTTCAAAAAAAAAAAAAAGTGTCCCCAGATTCACTGAAAAAGTCTGGTAACCATATCCTAAAAATATACACCTCAAGTCAGGGCTGGCCCGCCCATGAAGCAGACTGAAGCAGCTACCTTGGGCAGTGGAATCTCAGACCCTCCAAGTCTCCCTTTTTTCCAGGGATAGTCCTGGATTTACAGAAGCCATCCCAGTTTCTGATCTGATCCCAGAATGCCCTGCATTTCCTTAGGATGTCCTTATTTTAATTGGAGAAATGTTGGAGGGTATGGTAGGACATTCCTATTAGCTGGGCTAATGGTTTATTTCTCTCTTTTTATATATATAATCTTTTTATTTGATTTTCCAAAAAAGAGAGAGAAAAATTAATATATTATTTATACCCTGCCCATCAGGCTGGGTTTCCCCGGCCACTCTGGGCAGCTTCCAACAGAATATTAAAATACAGTAGTCTGTTAAACATTAAAAGCTTCCCTAAACAGGGCTGCCTTCAGATGTCTTCTAAAAGTCTGGTACAGTGGTACCTCGGGCGAAAATTAACTGGGAAGCTCAGGAATCAAAAAGACAAGAAATTTAAAAAAGAATGGGAAATGTTTATAATCATTGTAAACAGGTCAAAACATTAGCAGGATTTTAAATACACTTGTAATGTAACAGAATGTATAGTTAACGTAGGAAGATGAAAAATAGGAGAAGTATTGTTATGCAGTTGAAAATAGTATCAAAAGGACTCATGGAAGGGATGAGGGGAAGTCAGGAGATTCAGAGTAATGGTTTATTTCTCTCTTTTTATGTATATAATCTTTTAATTTGATTTTCCAAAAAAAGAGAGAAAAAATTAATATATACAGTGGTACCTTGGGTTAAGTACTTAATTCGTTCCGGAGGTCTGTACTTAACCTGAAACTGTTCTTAACCTGAAGCACCACTTTAGCTAATGGGGTCTCCTGCTGCCGCTGCGCCGCCAGAGCACAATTTCTGTTCTTATCCTGAAGCAAAGTTATTAACCTGAAGCACTATTTCTGGGTTAGCGGAGTCTGTAACCTGAAGCGTATGTAACCTGAAGCGTATGTAACCTGAGGTACCACTGTATTATAAAAAAAATATCAAAACAGCACAAAATCCAAATACAGTGGTACCTAGGTTATATACGCTTCAGGTTACATACGCTTCAGGTTACAGACTCCACTAACCCAGAAATATTACCTCGGGTTAAGAACTTTGCTTCAGGATGAGAACAGAAATCGGGTTCCGGTGGCGTGGCAGCAGCAGGAGGCCCCATTAGCTAAAGTGGTGCTTCAGGTTAAGAACAGTTTCAGGTTAAGTACAGACCTCCGGAACGAATTAAGTACTTAACCTGAGGTACCACTGTATATATTAATTTTTTTCTCTCTTTTTTTGGAAAATCAAATTAAAAGATTATATATATAAGAATCTCCTGACTTCCCCTCATCCCTTCCATGGGTCCTTTTGATACTATTTTCAACTGCATAACAATACTTCTCCTATTTTTCATCTTCCTACGTTAACTATACATGCTGTTACATTACAAGTGTATTTAAAATCCTGCTAATGTTTTGACCTGTTTACAATGATTATAAACATTTCCCATTCTTTTTTAAATTTCTTGTCTTTTTGATTCCTGAGCTTCCCAGTTAATTTTCGCCATTTCGGCATAGTCCCGCAACTTGATTTGCCATTAATGGTTTGTTTCTCTCTTACCACTTGTGGTTTGAAATTTCTGTAGCAGCACTCTTAATGGTACAAAAACATTCTCCAGTCACTATCCACTGAGATCGTTGCACTGTATCTATGCTATAAAGAAAAGTTACAGAAGTTTTGTTGTTGTTGTTAATAAATAAAATATATCTTTCTTACACTTATCATGTTTGTGTGTGTGTGTGTGTGAGAGAGAGGAGAGAGAGAGAGAGACAGACAGACAGACAGAAATTCCCAGGAAGCAGGATAGTTCTTTTGAATTTGTGCGGTCCGAGGGCTTGGGATTGCAAAGAAAGCAATTGGCTTCAGGCACAGAAATTGTTTAGCACTCTGTTGTGGATTTTTTATTTTATTTTTAAGCTTCTCAGTCAATTAAACAAGAAAATAAATTGTATTTGAAAACCATCAATGGGGCTGACTACGCTTGTAGGATTACAATAAGTTTTGTAAGGAGAACTATATGAAATATTACAGAAAAAATCTAAGAGAGTGGACTATGAAAAGTAATAGTTAAGATAATGAATTGCAAGACTAAGAGATGAAGGCAGAAAATCACTAAACGTGGTTGATGGAAGTCTTAGGCATATAGCCAAAATGTTGTATATGATAAGAAGAGATGTTATGTTCTGGTTGGAAAATATTTGTAAAAACTAATAAAAATATATTAAAAAACAACAACCATCAATGGGGAGAGTAAATTCCAGAGAAATCATGATCAAAGTGCAGAACTTATGTTGCATTTACCTTACTCTTGAGGTGGCTTAGTGGGTATGCAAGTGCCCTTTCTGTCATTCTACATATCATCTCATCAGAAGTATGATCTCTGCAGTCTTCCCCAGGCACCTGTACGTCAATTAAAGCCCAGAAGAAAACATCATATGGCAATTTCTCCCCTGGGACTTTTCTGGATCAGGAAGTGTTGTCAGCCAGGGACGCTGCAGAGTACTGGATAAACGTCCCATGGAAAGAAAAACACACTCCAACCTTGGCTACCTTGCAACAATAAGGTAAGGTCAAAACTAGAGCTGGGCGATATATATCAGCATATTGTAAAAAAACGGTTTGAAGTCCATATCGCGATATCGGTTTCATAATTTTTGACCTGGCAATATATCGTGCATCGTGTGTGTGCTATGCAAAAATCACAATGTGGGAAAAACATTGTCAGCCAGCTAATGCCTCTATATAGCTCCCTCCTTATTACAGATGTCGTGATATATCAGTATATTGCGATGTTTAAAGGGTAAGGGTAAAGGGACCCCTGACCATTAGGTCTAGTCGCGGCTGACTCTGGGGTTGCGGCGCTCATCTCGCTTTACTGGCCAAGGGAGCCGGTGTACAGCTTCTGGGTCATGTGGCCAACATGACTAAGCCGCTTCTGGCGAACCAGAGCAGCGCATGGAAACACCGTTTACCTTCCCGCCAGAGCGGTACCTATTTATCTACTTGCACTTTGAGGTGCTTTCGAACTGCTAGGTGGGCAGGAGCAGGGCCCAAACAACGGGAGCTCACCCCATCGCGGGGATTCGAACCGCCAACAACCTTCTGATTGGCAAGTCCTAGGCTCTGTGGTTTAACCCACAGCGCCACCCGTGTCCCCTATTGCGATGTTTAGCTGGTGATATATGACAATGTTGAAAGCCAGATATTGCCCAGCCCTGATCAAAATCCTACACTGATCAAAATGCTAAAGAAATTCTCAAGTGTCTGAAGAGCAAGGTAGTAAAATGGAAACCTCTTTTGCAGAGGAAGATTTTTGTAAAGCACTGATGATAATAATAATAATACTGTATTGGCCCGAATATAAGTTGCCCCCCCCCCCCAATTCTGACCGTGAAAAGTTAAAGTGTGGCTTACATTTGCAACCTTACAAAAATGGACTTTTATGATAACGCTGCTGAAACAGACAATTACATACGGTAAAACAGAAAAACAAAACAAAAAAGTTTTATTGCCGATTTGCGAGCTTGAGGCTGTTATGCAATAAATTCTAATGTCATTCATCGCTTTCCCTGTATTTTACAGTGCAGTATTGATTTTTTTATTTGCATTTACACTGCTACGAACAGGTGTTTAACCCACTTGCAGGTCCTCTATAGTACCTGTAGGATTTTCTTCTCCATTTGTCATTTACCGGTGTGCCTGTGGAATTGTAGCAACTGAATAGTAATTTGAGATTTTAGCAATTGTACGGTAACTTTCCCGGGGTTGCGAGATCAAAGGCTTAAATTGGCTTGGAGTTACAATTCTACCAACTGCAGCAATTTTCAGCCTGTAACCCAATTTTAAGGCTGATACATCTGGGTATTGACTTTTTTCTTCCCCACCCTTGAATTTTAAAGGTGTGGCTTACATTTGGGCCAATACGGTGATGATAATGATGATGATGATAATAATAGTTTTGTTATTGTTCTTTATTATTTAATGTACAGTGGTGCCTCGCAAGACGAAATTAATCCGTTCTGCGAGTTTCTTCGTCTTGCGGTTTTTTCGTCTTGCGAAGCACGGCTATTAGCGGCTTAGCAGCTATTAACGGCTTAGCGGCTTTTAACGGCTTAGCGGCTTTAAGAAAAAGGAAACAAACTCACAAGAACTCGCAAGACGTTTCGTCTTGCGAAGCAAGCCCATAGGGAAATTCGTCTTGCAGAACGACTAAAAAAACGGAAAACTCTTTCGTCTAGCGAGTTTTTCGTCTTGCGAGGCATTCGTCTTGCGGGGCACCACTGTACTACCCGGTCCTTTAACTTAAGGTCCAAGTGTTAAGTTGTGGGTGAACATATCAGACGACACAACGATTCTTCAAACAGCTCTTGTTTATTCACAGGCCAGAACAGAACTGAACTGAAGGGTTCAGTCAGCCTGCTTATATAGAGCTCCAGTACAACGTAACTGTAACAGTTTTCTAAAACTATCCAATCACTGAACGTCACTTTCGATCCCTTATTTGCATAACTATCTACAGTATCCCCCTGCTGGCCCTCGGTGAGAACTTCAGTACATAACACCAAGGGTGGGTTACAACATTAAAACACAATGTCACAACACAATATTAAAAACAGTTTGAAACAACTTACAGCTGTCCCATTGATCCTGCACCCCTCCGCTGAGGAATTCACAGGCGAGTTCATGAAGGGCTATTCCATTCTCAGAATTCTGTTGGGGTGGTTTAGGGAGAGAAAGAGAGAGCTGCTGGGTGAAAATTTCAAGGTCTTTTGAACTAAGGCTACAGCACACCTGCACACACTGGCAGTGGCTGGACCTGTGAGAACCATTTAAAATATACAAGGGGAGCAGACAGCTTTGAAAGGCACCATTAGTGCACATTTTAATAATTATCCACTCAATCAACAAAGCAACATAGTAAAGTCGGTCATTATAATTCCTATTTACGAGGGGAAACTGGAGCAAGGCAGTAATGTGTTACTTCAGGTCACCAATGACCACAACAGGGGTATCATCCCAGGTCCGAAAGACGCTCTGATGTGCTGCAATGAAGTTATTGTTGAGAAACTCTCGACTCTGAATCCGACTTTAATGTAAACCGATTTACAAAATACTTTACCTCTCTCCTTCACCACTTGCTTGGTTTCTAGATGTGCTTAGATGCTGCTTCAGTGTCACAATGGATCTGACACGCCCCCCCCCTTTTGTTGCATGGACCTGTCAACCGTTTGTTCCTGTAGCAGCAAGCAGCACTGGAAACCAGTTTGAAGGAAGGAAAGGTGGCGGCGACTCTCCCTTCGTGGTCCATGCTACATGTTCGGTATCTGAAAGCGTAAGAAAGACCACTTTCAGGTGAAAGTAAGTACAGCCAAATTTAGCCACACACTTCAGCCACTGCCCTCTAGACTTCTGTCTCAGCAGACGTCCTTCACAGATCTGCCGAGACTTTTTTTCCTGGAGAGCTAAACTGTCCTTTTACCTAATCTCATACATACAGCACAAGTAACGTGAGCTGTAGCCCATCTATGACTCAGTTGTAGTATTTAACTGAATCAAGGCTGAGGGTTTATTCACACTTTGCCAGACTCTTTCTAGGCAGAAGTCCACATTTTAACACTCCGTGACTCAGCATTGTTGTTGTTTTTCACCTCAGCTTTCCATGCTTAAAACCTGCTCTTTAAAGCTGATTCGGAGCAAACGTCAATTCAGATGTTTGTGGGGAAAGCCCCGGATCAAAATTAAGGGTGCTGGGACACTTTAATCGCCTTGATAGAATTGTAGAACTGGATGGGACCCAAGGGTCATCTAGTCCAACCCCCTGCAATGCAGGGATCTTGGCTACAGCATCCATGACAGATAGCCACCCAACCTCTGCTTAAAAACCTCCAAGGAAGGAGAGTCCACCAGCTTCCGAGGGAGACCGTTCCACTGTCAAACAGCTCTTACTGTCAGAAAGTTTTCCCGTATGTTTAGCTGGAATCTGCTTTCTTGTAACTTGAAGCCATTGCTTTGAGTCCTGTCCTCCAAAGCAGGAGAAAACAAGCTTGCTTCCTCTTCCATGGGACAGCCCTTGGGATATGTGAAGAGGGCTCTTGTATCTCCTGTCAGTCTCCTCTTTACCAGGCTAAACATACCCAGCTCCTTCAACCCTTCCTCATAAGGCCAAAAATAAATACATAAGGTTCCTCTGTTAAGTTGTGGGTGAACATATCAGACGACACAGAGATTCTTCAAACAGCTCTTGTTTATTCATAGGCCAGGACAGAACTGAACTGAAGGGTTCAGCCAGCCTGCTTATATAGAGCTCCACTACAATGTAACTGTAACAATTTTCTAAAACTATCCAATCACTGAACGTCACTTTCGATCCCTTATTTGCATAACTATCTACAGTATCCCCCTGCTGGCCCTCGGTGAGAACTTCAGTACATAACATCCTCCATCACCTGTGCTGGGTGATTCCAAGGCCAGTGCTATTTTTATAGGAAAAGGGGTGCCGGAACCCACTGGAGAGGTGCCAGAACAGAGTTCTTGTGTGTTTCCCATTTAAAAAGCCCTTCCAATGACTTCCCAGTTCTTTGTCCACCCATTGGCAGCCAGTCACTTCTAGGAAGTTACCGTATTTTTCGCTCTATAAGATGCACCGGACCACAAGAGGCACCTAGTTTTTGGAGGAGGAAAACAAGAGAAAAATATATTCTGAATCTCAGAAGCCAGAACAGCAAGAGGGATCGCTGCGCAGGGAAAGCAGCAATCCCTCTTGCTGTTCTGGCTTCTGGGATAGCTACGCAGCCTGCATTCGCTCCATAAGATGCACACACATTTCCCCTTACTTTTTAGGAGGGGAAAAGTGAGTCTTACAGAGCAAAAAATATGGTAACAAGCTTGGCAAGATGATAATTGTATGCAGGCCCTCAATATCGGGCACTCAAGAGCACAAAAGGATTTCTGGATGAGCCCTCAGGAGTTACAGTTCCCAGCAACCCTTACCAAACTACAGTGCCCAGAATCCTTTGAGGGAAAGAACTTGCTTCCAATGTGCTTTAAAGATATTGTGTGCACCCAGCCTATGCCGGACCTTTATTGAGTATTCCTTCCAATTTGTTTACTGGGTGGTTTTATAACAACAGCCTACATTCATCCCAATTTGCTTGTAGGGTGTTGACACACCTTGCTGTTTATCATCAGTTCATCCCCATCACTTTCCTGCAAAGCTACAAAAAGTCCCTCTGTATTTTTTTTAAAAAGTGGATTTATTGCACTACGGCAACAGAGTGCTTTAATCCACTTTTAATTGCGAACGTTCCGGTATGAGCTTGCTTCCCTCCTGCGAAATACTGACGGCCTGGAGGGCCCGCAGGAAGAAAGCTCAACATACAGGTCAGCTGTCTGAACAATGCTGCCTAGACTCCTGAACTGGTGTCCATTGGGGATATTTTCCATAAGGCTTTTAGCTCTGCCATCTCAATTTCAATATGGAGCTATTGAAGATAGGGCTGCCATATGTCCAGCTCTTCCGGGACACGTCTGGGATTCGGCCAGCAAAATGGCGTCCGGGCGGATTTCTGCTGAATCAGCAAAATGTCCGGGGAAACCTGGACGTGTGGCAAGTTGGGCTAATTTTAAAAATCAATAATAATAATAATCAAAGAAAAGCCCCATAACAAGCAGCTTCATCATACGTGCACACTGTGACAAACAAGATACGTAGCTGTGTATTTAAGTGCATGGCTGGTTTGGCCCGCAAATGATCAAGCAATGATGTTGGGAGGAAAAGTTACACAAAGAGAAGAGGCTGATTAGTAGTAACTGCTTAGGTGATGTCAGAGTTGACTTCAAACTTTGCAAGAGCTTATATAAAGGCCCTTCTTCCCCAAAGTGACTTTATAAACTCCCCTGACACAAAAGATCAATAAGGATTAAAACAAACAAACAAACAAGGAATTCACAAAGTGAAAACATAGTTTGGATATGCTATGGTCTCTGTATTGACTTGAAAACAACTTTGTTTCATTGCTTAATTTCATGTAATTTATCGTCTTAAAAATGAATGCATTGTCTTTTGATTCCCCATCTGTTGTTTCTGAAGCGCCAGTGGTAGATTTTTGTACTCCTTTCAAATAAATACTGTTTCTGAACTGCTAAGGAAATTGTTTGACTTGTCTCTCTTTGTTTCATGCAGTAATCCAGCCCTTCAGTTGTTCTTTTGAACCAATGCATGTACCGGTAGCTGCTGGATGGTAAAAATGGATTACATCCCGCCACGGGTCAAACTGAGCGATGACACCTTTATCTTCATAGACGGCAAGTGGGTGAACGAAACCTATATTCAGTCAGCACTCTCTTCCGCCACAGAAGCCCGACAGAAGCACTCAGGCAAGAAGATGCACAATGACTGGACCCTTTGGGAAGAAAACAAAGCCCTTTGGGAGGAAAACAAAGCCCTGCGAGTGGAAAACAGGGCTCTCCGGGATGAGAACAAGGCCCTGCAGTCCCTTCGGATGGAGAACAAGGGCATCCAGGTTATTTATGACGAGAGTCTCCAGCAAGTCCTCCAGAAAGAAAACCACCCTTTAGCAGCCCTTCCGATCATAGCGGGGCTCAAGGATGGTATGGGGGAGAAAGCCCTTCAGGTTTTTAGAGATGAGAAGAAAGCCCTCCAGATCTTCCGGGAAAAGAATATGGCTCTGAAGGTCTTCCCGGACGAGAAGAAACCCGCTCCATTCCTGCAGGAAAAGCAACCTGCTCAGTCATCAGCAAATGAATTTACCCCAGCCCAGGAAACCAGTAAAATTGTAGGCCAGGAAGCCAGCAACACGACTGCACCGGCCGAAGCAGCTGAAGCTGTCCAGGAAAGCCAAGGGGAGAGGAGAGTTTTGTCAGTTCAAGAAAGAAACAAAGCCTTATTGCCATTGAAGGAGAACGAGGCACTTGAAGTTGTCCAGAAACTGAACGAAACTGTTCTGTGGCTCCTAAGAGAGAACCATGCACTACTGGAAGAAAAACAGGACCTCCAGACCATCCAAGGAGGGAACAAAATGCTTTGGGAGGAGAACAAAAAATTGAAGCTCCAGCAAAAAGCCATCAAAGTTGCGATCAGTAAGATCATTGCTCAGATGGATCTTCTGCACGAGGAG